ACATTATCGCTCTAGCTTTGTGGGTGATGACAGTTTTTGCTGTTGTGCTGATTATGGTGTTGTGATTCTGAGTGAAGAAACACTTAAAATGCACAAAGAGAAGTGGAACTTTAAGAGTCAGGGAGAAAACCTGACTTTTCACATGCATGAGGAACAAAAAGTCAATGAAAGATCACAAAGCTATGAAGCAACAGTGCTCCCCCCTCCACGCGGCCCCCAATACCAAAACAGAATTTCCTCCCACATGTGTGTCCTTTTTCTCTCTATAGGCCTTCTGTTTCCTTTTACTAACCTCTGATTTGAAATACAGGAAGACTCTTCCTGCCAGTGGAGTCAGCTCTGTTAGAACAAGAGAAGAGTTAGTTTAGTTAGAAACACAAAAACAGAGACAAGAAGTCTACACATACAGTACAACCCCTGGCAAAAATTATGGAATCACCGGCCTCAGAGGGTGTTCTTTCAGTTGTTTGATTTTGTAAAAAAAAAAAAAATGCAGATCACAGACATGACACAAAACTTGTCATTTCAACTGGCAACTATCTGGCTTCAAGAAACACTAAAGGAAATCAAGAAAAAAAAAATTGTGACAGTCAGTAACAGTTAATTTTTTTGGCCAAGCAGAGGGAAAAAATATGGAATCATGAATGAAAAACAATAAAAACAAAAAACTTTCCAACTGTCTCTGTTGCTGTTGCCAGATCAGCTTTGCAGGATGGAGCCTTGTCATGGACCATTTTCTTCAACTTCCACCAAAGACTTGCAATTGGTTTGAGATCAGGACTATTTACAGGCCATGCCATTGACCTTATGTGTCTTTTTCCAAGTAACGTTTTCACAGTTTTTGCTCTATGGCAGGATGCATTATCGTCTTGAAAAATGATTTCATCATCCTCAAACATCCTTTCAATTGATGGGATAAGAAAAGTGTCCAAAATATTAATGTAAACTTGTGCATTTATTGAAGATGTAATGGCAGCCATCTCCCCAGTGCCTTTACCTGACATGCAGCCCAATACCATCAATGGCTGTGGAAATGTGCATGTTCTCTTCAGGCAGTCCTCTTTATAAATCTCACTGGTTTCCTCCCATTTATTTCTCAGCTGACTGTGRACAACCAACATCTTTTGCAACATTGCATGATGACTTCCCCTCTTTTAAGACTTTGATAATGCTCTACTTTATTTCAATTGACATCTCTCGTGTTGGAGCCATTATTCATGCCAGTCCACTTGGAGCAACAGTTCTCCAAGGTGTGATCACTCCTTTTTAGATGCAGACTAACGATCAGATCTAATTTGATGCAGGTGTTTTTGGTTTTGGGAATGAAAATTTACAGGGTGATTCCATATTTTTTTCCTCAGAATTGAGTGATTCCATAATTTTTCCCTCTGCTTAGCCAAAAAAGTTACCGTTACTGACTAGCACCTTTCTTTCTTGATTTCTTTTAGTTTTTTAAAGCCGGAAAGTTGCCATTTTAAATGATTTTAGTTTTGTGTCATATCTGTGATCTGCTTTTTTTCTACAAAATTAAACAACTGAATGAACATCCTGCGAGGCCGGTGATTTCATAATGTTTGCCAGGGGTTGTAGTGACACACCAGCCTTTTTATTTTCAGTTTAGTTTTAGGTTTCAATTTATATTTGATTAAGTTGGATTATTTTTTTCTTTTTTGTTATCACCCACAGTCAAAGGTGAAAATGTGACTGGGAATTTGCTCATTTGTGCTCATTTGTCTGCCTTTTAGTAAATCTCTTGAACTCATCAATGTGTTTCAATAAAGCCTTCAGAAAATACATCTACAATGAATGAATGAATGAATGAATGAAATTTTTATTTAAGTGTCATGCACTAAAAGTGCCCAGCCTATACAGGCTTATAAGACACCATGGACAAAAAGGAAGTGGCCATACATTTACA